ATGGCCACAAGGATGCTCTTTGTGTCCCTTCCCAGAAAGACAGACAGCATCAGACACAAACCTGCTCTTCTCTCCACCTTACCTGTCCCTTCTGCCACCCTCTCCCTGTCCCCTCTGCCACCCTCTCTGCACCTTCTGGCCTTCCAGTCATGCATGCTCCTCCCTGAGGGCACAAATCCCTTCAGCTGCTCACCACCCCTTGCACTCAGTGGAGCCCAGCCCTTGGGGAGCACACAGCTTTTGGGGATCCCTCAGGAGGAACTCTGACAATTCTGCACATGAGCAGATTGAAGGACTGGGGACTTGTACAGCAAATCCAGAACCTCCTCTCTTTACTTGTAAACATCCACCCCAGAGCTCACAGGGATACAACATCAGGAATTCTATTTTGATTCAAGCCAAACCCACAGCCACTCTTAACTATAATTAAAAAATCTCTAATTGGCAGAAACCATCAGCCAGGTGAACATTACAGCATAAAGCAATTCACTGATGTGCTCAGGATTCAGCACCCATTTACAGAGTGTCTTATCCCCTTGATGAGATCAGGAAAGTCTGGAAAAGCAGGAGTCTGCTGTGGATTTTCTGTTCCATCAGCTCTGTGGCCTGGATCACAGCTGAGTCAGCAGAGCCTGGGGCAGCACAGCCACATCCACAGCACTGCCCTCAGCCCAGAGCCCAGCAGGGCCTCAGCCCCAGCACAGCCAGCCTCTGCAGTTGCTATTTTTATGGGCAGACACAAACCAAAATAGCTGTGCCTGACCGGGGAGGCAGCGTGGCTGACAGCCCAGGGACTGCCCCACCCTGACCCAGCACTGCCACAGCCCCACGGTCACAAAGGGAAGGTAAAGAACACACAGCACCCCTCCAGGAGATCCTTTCCCACATCCACCTGTCCAGGAGATCCTTTCCCCCACCCCATCTCCAGGAGATCCTTTCCCACACACCCTCGTCTCCAGGAGATTCTTTCCCACATCCACCTGTCCAGGAGATCCTTTCCCACTCCCACCTCCCCAGGAGTCCATCTCCACACAACCACCCAGCTGAAGGACTCGAGAGCCCCCAGACACACCTCAATGCAGCCAGGACCAGCACAGTGTCCCAGTGTCCCACCCTAAACAAGTGTGCCCAGAAATTTCCCTCTTCTCCTGCATCAGCTGGGCTCTCTGTCAGTATTTGAATATTCCAGAGCTGGAATTTTAAGGGACAGAAAATTCACAGCACTTAAAACCACAGAATGGTTTGGGTTGGGACTTTAAATATCAGGCACTCCAACCCCCCTGCCATGGCAGGGACACCTCCCACTGTCCCAGGCTGCTCCCAGCCCCAATGTCCAGCCTGGCCTTGGGCACTGCCAGGGATCCAGGGGCAGCCACAGCTGCTCTGGGCACCCTGTGCCAGGGCCTGCCCACCCTGCCAGGGAACAATTCCCAATTCCCAATATCCCATCCAGCCCTGCCCTCTGGCACTGGGAGCCATTCCCTGTGTCCTGTCCCTCCATCCCTTGTCCCCAGTCCCTCTCAGCTCTCCTGGAGCTCCTTTAGGTACTGGAAGGTGCTTTAGGGTCTCCCTGGAGCATTCTCTTTTCCATTTCTGAAATTTGTTTACTGCAGCTTGAAGCTGTGCTTCCTCGTAGAAGAAAACCTAATGTTAATCCCACAAAAGTTATAGACATTGAAATACAGACTAACAGAATCATTGAAGTATTTCTAAAATATTCTGTTTGCCAAGCCTAACTGACCCATTACAGAGCAGAACAATGTCACCCTGGGGAGGAGCTGTGCACCAGGCACAGGGCTCTGACAGCTTTACAAAGTGTCACTGTCCCCAAACCTGCCCCAATAAACACCAAAACAAAGGGGCAGAAGCAGAGACGCACACAGAAACAGCTCAACTAAATATCTGTGTCACTCACCCACCAAACCTCCCCAAGCTGTGCAACACCACCCTGGGCTGCTCAGGCCTCTGAGCAGAGCATTTCCAGCATTTCCAGCATTCCCAGCACAAAGTCTCCAGGAGGAAGGCACCTCACTCTGCCTTCCAGAAGCAGCATCCTTAGCTCATTGTTACTGGCCCTCCACAGCTCCCAGCCATTCCCAGGGCTCTAAAGATCTGCTCAGAGTTGGCAGGCAGCTGAGATGAGGTGCAGCAGGGCTGTGTCCAACCCTTTGTGTCCCTGGGAGACCATGAGCAGCCTCCAGCTGAGCATGAAACCCTCCCTGGGTGGGTTCTGCACCATTTAACCAGCCCACAAGAGCTGTGTGAGATGAGCAGAGCAGCAGGAGCTGTGCTGGGGAAGATGAAACAGGAAAGCCTTATAAATATGACTGCCTGGCAAAAGATTTTGAGAATATGGAAACTATAAGTGAGATTGAAATGAAAGCAAGCTTTGAGATACCTCAGTTACTGAACAACTGGAAAACAATGGCATGGCCAGCTGAAGGTGATCCCCTTTTGATGGAACAACACCCTCTGCTTGCAGACAGCTCCAAGGGTCAGAGCAGACCCTACAGCTTGGCAGAAGGGGCCCAAAGAGGAGTTTTTAGGGTTTAAAATGTAGCACAGTATGGGAATGTAATGATTCTTATAGGCTGTATGGAAATGCTATAGGATTTGTACCTTGTACTAGATTGGTTAGTGAGAATTAGAATATTCAGCACAGAAGAAGATTTATGGTACTGGAACAGGAACCTCGCTCTCTCTCACCCTCTTTACCCCACTCTTGCCTCCTCTCTCTTTCCCACGCTCTTTACTTCTCTGAGCCCTGCTCCAGCTGTGTTTGGCAGCTCCCAGCAGGGCCCTGCCCCCAGGCCCTTTGCAATGAACCCCAAGTTCCTGACCTGGCTTCAGAGATGTCTCGTGTCTGTCCGGCCCCGCCATCCTACCCCTGTCACTCTCACAGAGCTGGAGGGCTCTGGCTACCCAGTCTGCCCCATACATGACCAGTTAAACGGCCGTTCCTGACTGGTTAAACCCCCACTCTTGACTGGTTAAATGCCCATACCTGACTGGTTAAAGCCCCATTCCTGATTGGTTAAATCCCTGTACCTGACTGGTTAAACCCCGTATCCAACTGGTAAGACCCTCATACCCGACTGGTTAAAGCCCCGCTCCTGACTGGTTAAATGCCAGTACCTGACTGGTTAAATCCCCGTTCCTGACTGGTTAAACCCCTATACCTGACTGGTTAAACCCCTATACCTGACTGGTTAAATCCCCGTTCCTGACTGGTTAAATCCCCACACCTGACCAGTTAAATCCCTGTTCCTGACTGGTTACACCCCTGTTCCTGACTGGTTAAAGCCCTGTACCCGACTGGTTAAATGCCCATTCCTGACTGGTTAAACCCCATACCTGACTGGTTAAACCCCATACCTGACTGGTTAAATGCCCATTCCTGACCAGTTAAATCCCCGTACCCGACTGGTTAAATGCCCATTCCTGACTGGTTAAATCTCCGTTCCTGATCGGTTAAACACCCGTTCTTGACCGGTTAAATGCCCATTCCTGACCGGTTAAACCCCTGTACCAGACTGGTTAAAGCCCTGTGCCTGACTGGTTAAATGCCTGTTCCTGACTGGTTAAACACCCGTTCCTGAGCAGTTAAACACTTGCTCCTGACTGGTTAAATCCCCACTCCTGACTGGCTAAATCCCCGTACCCCACTAGTTAAATCCCCATACCTGACTGGTTAAATCCTTGTACCTGACCGGTTAAACCCCCGTTCCTGACTGGTTAAACCCCTATACCTGACTGGTTAAATCCCCATTCCTGACTGGTTAAACCCCTATACCTGACTGGTTAAATCTCTGTACCTGCCTGGTTAAACCCCCGTACCTGACTGGTTAAATCCCCATTTCTGACTGGTTAAATGCCCGTTCCTACTGGTTAAATCCCTGTACCTGACTGGTTAAACCCCGTACCTGACTGGTAAGACCCTCGCACCCAACTGGTTAAATCCACATTCCTGCCTGGTTAAAGCCCTGTGCCTGACCGGTTAAATCCCCATTCCTGACTGGTTAAATCCACATTCCTGCCTGGTTAAACCCCTGTGCCTGACCGGTTAAATCCCCATTCCTGACTGGTTAAATCCACATTCCTGCCTGGTTAAACCCCTGTGCCTGACCGGTTAAATCCCTGTTCCTGACTGGTTAAATGCCTGTACCTGACTGGTTAAATGCCCGTACCTGACTGGTTAAACCCCCGTACATGACTGGTTAAATCTCCGCTCCTGACCAGTTAAACCCCCGTTCCTGACTGGTTAACTCCCCACACCCGACTGGTTAAACCCCCATTCCTGACCAGTTAAACCCCCGTGCCTGGCTAGTTAAATCCCCGTACCTGACTGGTTAAATGCTTGTACCCAACTAGTTAAATACCCATACCTGACTGGTTAAATCCCCATTCCTGACTGGTTAAATGCCCATACCTGACTGGTTAAACCCCCGCTCCTGAATGGTTAAATCCCTGTTCCTGACTGGTTAAACACTCGTTCCTGACTGGTTAAATCCCTGTTCCTGACTGGTTAAACACTTGTTCCTGACTGATTAAATCCCTGTACCTGACTGGTTAAACCCCCATACGGGACTGGTTAAACCCCCGTTCCTGGCTGGTTAAATGCCAGTACCTGACTGGTTAAACCCCCGTTCCTGACTGGTTAAACCCCTGTTCCTGACTGGTGAGAGCCCCATACCTGACTGGTTAAACCCCTATACTTGATTGGTTAAATCCCTGTTCCTGACTGGTTAAACCCCTATACTTGACTGGTTAAACCACCGTTCCTGACCAGTTAAACACTCTTTCCTGACCAGTTAAATGCCCATACCTGACTGGTTCAACCCTCGTGCCTGACTGGTTAAACCCCATACCTGACTGCTTAAACCCCCTTTCCTGACCGATTAAACCCTCATGCCTGACTGGTTAAACCCCCTTTCCTGACTGGTTAAACCCCCATGCCTGACTGGTTAAACCCCCGTACATTGCTGGATAAACCCCCATACCTGACTGGTTGTTGCGCATGCGGATGGCCTTGGCCTTGGCCAGCTCCAGGGCCGTGACCCAGCGCTGCCTCTCCACCTCTGAGTTGGCTTTCAGGTGGTAGGTCCTGCCCCCGTTGGACAGCACGATGTTGCACGAGTCCTCCGTGTCGATGTGGGCTGTGGACAGGTTGATGGTGCCCCGGCACGTGTGGGCCATCTCTGCCTGAGTCCTGCATAGGAACAGAAGGACAAGGAAGGGTCAGTGCTGCTGTACCTGACCCCAAAACACCTCCAAGGCACCCTCCTGCACAGCACAGACCAGTGGAGAGCTGGCAGCACTCACATGCAATCCACTAAAGCTGGAAAAGGTGTGGTATTCACATGCCTTCTGAACAGAGAGAGATTTAGCTTTCTCAGGATTCTCCTGAGAGAAGCAGAGAAAAGAATGATCAAAATAAAATCTCATTTGCTGCTCCTTTGTGCCCATGTGGAATGTGTTCTGGAGATTGTTTACCCAAGGTGATTGCTTGATTGGATTCTGGAGACGGTGTTTTAGATTTATTGAGCAATTGGATCCACATGTGTGTGTGTCAGGACTTCCAGGCAGAGAGTCACAGGTTTTCTAGTTAGTTAGTGATAGTTCTTGTTAGTGTAATATAGTTATAGTATAAATATAGTATAATATATAGTATAATAAAGTATAATATAGTAAATATAGTATAATAAATATAGTATAGTAAAGTAATTAATTAGCCTTCGGATATCATGGAGTTCTGAGCGTCATTCTTCCCTGTGTCAGGGGATCTTCACAGCATCCAATAGAAAAGGCCCTCAGAGAAACAAGGGCAGGCTGAGGTGTTTAGATGGAACTCGTTCCCTTGGAGGAGCAACACCCCATCATTGCTTACACATTCAAATCCCACTGTGTCCACTGCTTCTAAAAGCGAAGTTCCAACTACACAACACCAGCTTTCTCATCTCATTTCCACTGCAGCTCTTCTCCCTTGTCCCAGCTGTCCCACCTCCAGAGTCCAGCACTCTGTGGCTCTTTATACCCTCTCTGTTCCATCATTGTTTTTGTCCAAGTGTGCTCAGACCTCGTAGGTCCCAGCCCTGGGGTGGCAGCAGGAGCAGGGCAGTGCCCGTGCCCTGAGCCGGCACTGCTGGGGCACCTCCAGGGCTGGGGCAGCTCTGGGACCCTCCTGACAGGAGAGACCTGGAGGGGCTGGAGCGTGTCCAGGGCAGGGAACGGAGCTGGGAAGGGGCTGGAGCCCCAGCAGAGGCTGAGGGAGCTGGGAAGGGGCTCAGCCTGGAGCAAAGGAGGCTCAGGGGGCCCTTGTGGCTCTGCACAGCTCCTGACAGGAGGGGACAGCCGGGGGGGTCGGGCTGTGCTCCAGGGAACAGGGACAGGAGCAGAGGGAACGGCCTCAGCTGGGCCAGGGCAGGGGCAGGGTGGATTTTGGGAACATTTCTTCCTGGAAAGGGTGGTCAGGGTGGCACAGCTGCCCAGAGCAGGGTTGGAGTGCCCATCCCTGAAGGGAGTTAACAGCCATGTGGATGTGGCACCTGGGGACATGGATTAGTGGTGGCCTTGGCAGTGCCAGGTCAATGGTTGCCCTCAGCAATCTGAGGGTTTTTCCAACCTCAGTGACTCCATAATTCCACAAGAACATCAGAGCAGGGAGGCCTTAGAGGCACAGCCCAGAGCTGCTCTCACAAAGTGTTGCTGATCAAGCTCACCACAGGACAGAGATATGGGCCCTGCCAGGGAAGAATGGGCAGCACTCCAGGGATACCCACTGCCAACCTGACTCCTGAGGCTGCTTGCTACACAGAGGAGGCCACTCTGCCTGACCAGGAACTCAAAATCCCCAAACCCCCAAACATCTCAAGGACATCTCTCACCTGCTCAGTGGGACAGATTTATGCCAGGGCCATATCCAGGCCTGACATGAGGAGATGAAATCCTCCTGGTGCCTCCTAAAGACCTACAGCTTGTGTCTCTCAGCACCACAGGGCAAGTTCAGAGCCAGTGCACAGTGTGGTTAACCTTTTTGCAGGGGTGAGTTGGCCCCAAAGGAATCAAGCCCCAGTTTCATTCCTAAGTCATCCCTTCACGCTGCAGCACGTACTGTGCTCCCAGGAGGGATCCCTTCCCACCTTGAGAGCTACTAAAATCATCTCTCCTCCACAAAGCAAAGGTCCCCAAGGTGACTGCACAAAATCAGCTGCAGACACTCAGAGCCTCGCTCTCCCACCCAGGGAAACAGAGATGTTGCTCTCCCAGCTCCCCTCCCGAGCCAATCTGCATGGGAAATCAACTCCTATTAATCAGCGCCCACACACGAGGCAGGCACCTGACCCAGCCGGGAGCCAACCTCCTGTGCCCAGAGCCGGGCAAAGGAGCAGGGGTGCCCTTCAGAGCCCTCGCGGTCAGCTGGATCCGCTCATTCAGGCTGGCACTGGCTCTGGTGTAACCTGATCCCGCAGATCCCGGCTCTGCCCTTCCTGCAGCACTGCGAGCGCTGAGTTTGGAGAGTTCAACCTGGCTGGGGGTTAAACCTGAGCGCTGAGTTTGGAGAGTTCAACCTGGCTGGGGGTTAAACCTGAGCACCCAGAGGTGGAGGCAGCCAAACCTCTGGGATTTTTTAGCTCTGCGAGGGAGCAAAACCCGCCGGGATTCGCCCTCGGAGCGCCAGAATTAGAGCTGTGCATGGGAGGCTGGGGGAATGACAGCCTTGGAGAGTCCTGGCCAGGACACAGCAGAGGGAAAAAATATCCCAAAATACCACAGAGAGGACTAAAGCACCCACCCACCCAGCCAGGGGATGGCAAACATCATAATATCAACATCAGTGTGTCCCTTTTGCCAGCGGCAGGATCCCAAAGCACCAGGACACGCTCCATGGAAGCCCTGAGTGATCAACCCAAGGCAACCCTGCCCAGCCAGGGCACACCAGAGAGAAAAAATATCCCAAAATGCCTCAGGAAGGACTAAAGCACCCAGCCAGGGAATGGCAAACATCATCATATCAACATCAATGTGTCCCTTTTGCCAGCAGCAGGATCCCAAAGCAGCAGGACATTCTCCATGGAAGCTCTGAGTGATCAGTCCTGCCCAGTCCAGCACCCAGCTCCAGACAGAGCAGGGCAGGAACCACGGACAGATTCATGGCTGACCCCAAAATCAGGCTTGTGGCAACACCAGTGCTGTTGTGGATCATCAGAGAGGAGATTCCTTACTCTAAAACCAGTGATATTTTTACCACAATGCCAGCAAGACTATCTCAGCTGTCCAACCTCCTCTGGATGCACAGGCCCCAATTCCCACGTGGATTTTGTCCAAGCAAGCACATGTTCCTGCTCTGAATATATATTTTTCTTCTTTTATTTCAACAGAATAATAGGAATTTCAGACTGCTGAAAATTCTGGCATCTCCATCACCCACTCTTACTCACCAGCCCAACACAGCTCTTGTATCACAGCCACTCACAATGACAGGTTTTGCAAAAATCTTGAAAGATTTTCTTTTTAAAATATTATTTATAGCATTTCTCCCTTTTTTTGACTGATAAAGCTACTTCAGCTCCTTAACACCACAAATCTAAACACAGAGAGTTTGACAAGACAATCTGCAGCATCAGTTCCTTAAAAGGGCTTCAGTCTAAAACTCCTGGAGTCTGATTTTCAGTGACTTGGATTCTACAGCCTGACAGAGCAGCTACAACACTGCAGTACCATAAAAGATCAGCAATTATAATTTAAAGACCTGCTTTGTACTGCTGAAGGGACACTTGAGCTCCAGGAGGCTGCTCAGCATGCCAGGGCTGTGCAAGAGAGAGATGCTCCCAATTTTTAACAGCTGTACCAAATCTCCCTGGATTTAAACAACAAATCTCCCTGAAGGGCTCACAGGACAGCTTTATCTATAGAGCAAAGAGAAGAAGGTGAAAAAGGAGATAATAAAATGTTTTTTGCCTGCCAGCTCCACAGCTGTGGTTTTGGTGATACCCCAACAGCCAAAGGTTGAGCCCTGCATGTTGGGAAGTTGCTGCTGACACAGGATCTGTAATTAAAACTGTGTGGCTCTGCTGGAAGCTAACAGGGCACAGCAAGGAATGAACAAGCCAAGATCACACTCTGCTCCCAACCCTTAACCAGCACAACGGATGCCTGTGGAATTTCTCTGAAGGATTTTCTTTCTACCAGCAAGGCTCTGCACCATTCTGGGTAGCCTTGTCCCTCCTAAAACTCAGCTTCTTGTCTGACAGCTCCAACAGCACCAGGCAGAGGAGCCCAGCAGGGAACTGAGACCATCCCCATGTCCCAGGCACAGCAGAATTCCAGCCTGAGCATCCTCAGGGAGCTCCCAGCAGCCCAGCCCTGGGACCAGAGCATTCCTGCAGTCCTGGAAGCCCAACCAGAGCATTCCTGCAATCCTGGAAGCCCAACAGCTGCCCCAGTTCAGCCAAGCAGGGCAGGAGTGACACCTGGATGGACAGGTGACTTTGTGACATTCTGTCCTGGCTGGAAGCATCCAGCATCATGAGGGGAACAGAAACACTCAGGGCAGTGAGGGACAGGTCTCCAAACTGGATTATCCACCTGAAACCCAGCAGGGTTTCACACAAACCCTGAGCTGAGGGTGCCCTTCAAAGCTGGCAAGGGCAGACTCCAGTATCACCCACGTTCTAAGGCACCTCCACAGGGAAATCCAATCACATTTGAAGTTATTTCCCGAAATATGTTCACACTCTCATCCTGCACATTTTCCTGATCATCTCAAAACCACTGCTTTGCTGTAAGCCTCAGAACTCAGCACAGCTGATTCTACATCACAGAATCATGGAATGGTTTGGGTTGGAAGGAACCTCAAAACTCATCCAGTGCCACCCCTGCCATGGCAGGGACACCTCCCACTGTCCCAGGCTGTTCCAATGTCCAGCCTGGCCTTGGGCACTGCCAGGGATCCAGGGGCAGCCCCAGCTGCTCTGGGCACCCTGTGCCAGGGCCTGCCCACCCTGCCAGGGAACAATTCCCAATTCCCAATATCCCATCCGTCCCTGCCCTCTGGCACTGGGAGTCATTCCCTGTGTCCTGTCCCTCCATCCCTTGTCCCCAGTCCCTCTGCAGCTCTCCTGGAGCCCCTTCAGGCCCTGCAAGGGGCTCTGAGCTCTCCCTGGAGCCTTCTCCTCTCCAGGTCAGCACCCCCAGCTCTCCCAGCCTGCC